ATGTCAGTCGTTCTATCGGTTGATACGGCAATCAACCTAGCTGATTTCACACGTTATGCCAGCCACGCACCACTTCCGGAGGTGGGCGGTCCTGGATTGAAACCGAACGCCCCGGGGCCTTAACGGGGTTTTTCAAGGTGGGAAGTTGCTGCAATGTGTGCAGCTACCCACATACAACCTCCAGGCACGGGAATTACTTCTCTAGCGTGCCTGAGCCCGACCTTTGCCTTTAAACAACGCTACAGTTCCGCTCTATCATAAACCCGGTTTCCACCTGCTGTCTAGAAGAAGGTGCTACTCTCCTTCTCTACTCTGCTCAGCGTTGACATCTGCGCTCATGTCTCCCTCCTCCCGCTACTTGGATCCTGATGCACGGATGCAACTTCAAGCATCGGTATGCGTTTAATTGAGAATATGGAGCAGATGGGCACTTCGAAATGAGGTTGTTTTGCAGTTCTCTGTTCCTGAGCCTCAGCTTCTTCCAACTCATCACTACAGGTGTAGTTTCGGGCAGATCCCTATTCGTGACACAGCTTCGACACAATGCTCAACATTCCCATAAAAATATACCTTAGTGTGAGTTACGTAGAGCTTATGAGACTGGTTTATGAACTGACATAGATTTTCTGTGTAGGAGTTGTTGTCCTCCTTACTGCATCCTGGCTCCTGGAGATGAATTAGTTAGGGGCATCAACTGGAATGGTGAAGACGTATAGATATACCTCGTAGAAGAACGTGAAAATCGCAAGTTTCCGAGAAAAGATCCTCAACAAAGGATGTGTGGCAACCAGAGATTCGAAGTAAACGCACATTTCCACTGCCTGCATAAGAGTGCTGCTGATTTTAGTATGTAAGCATTCAAGTCGTAGTTTACGATGAACAGGGAACTCAATAGAAATCCAGAAGAGGTGATCAGTGGCGCAGGTGTGATAGAAAACCACGTAAAAGGGCCCACAACCCGAGAATGAGACCCTTCCTAAACCCGTTTGCTTTCTGTATTGATGCCTCCCATAGGTGCTGTCTTCTCAACGCTAACCCTTTCTGCCAAACGGCCAGAGTCTGACGGCGGGTGGGCATACAGGAGCTCGAGCGACATGCGTATGGCCTGCCATGCCGGAGCGCACTCTTAACTGGGAAAACATGCATCGCCCCACCCTGAGGGAGCTCATTTGCCTTTCGGCTAAGTATATATCCTTCTACCTCCAACCTTAACGTGAAATCCTTTAAATATTCTAACGGTGTAAATACTCACATTATTGAGATGGTAGCGGAAGCCCTCTAATCCATTCAGCCTCAACGCCATCCATATCTTCATCGCTTTGTTCCGTCGACTTCTATGTATGCCCCATTCCCGTATGTCAGTACTGTCTAAATCAGAACAGTAGAACCTGAGAATGAGGTGCGCACGCTCAGAAAGACAGCAACGACTGTCAAGACATGATGCCCAATACATCTGGGAGCTCGTTAAGGTAGTGTACGCAGTTTTTTCTGTGTTCCAGTGAGGGTCGACTTAAAAAGATCTTCAGGTGGAAAATCGAATCATGAAAAAGAGCAAGGGTGCCTCTCACAGACGGACGGGGGGGGGTGCAGAAAAGTAACCTCGTTCACGGCAAACATCGTCAAAGTTTTCGCAGAGTGCCGCTGTTGATGGGAGCTCTACGGCGTTCGCGAGCTCTTTCTTACAATTAGATGTCCCTCCATAAGCAGAGCAGGCCTTATTTCATTGAACTCACAGTCTTCAAAATGTAACGTCATATGTCATCACCGTCGAGCTCTAGAAGGCCTACCGTAATAGCTGGAGCCTTGAACTGCTAATTTCCTAAACGGAGCGATGTATCGCTCTAGAGACAATAGCTCTGACTATGGCAATAGCGCTTCTGACCAGCGTTTCAGATAACATCATAATGGTCGACGATCCGTCGACAACCTGTTGAGCTCGTACCGTGCGCCATGTCTCCAATGGCAAATCTTCGATTCTCCGGGATAGATATTTTGTTATGTTGGAATGTGCTCTTCAAATCCCATTTATGTTATTCGGTTTGAATTCAACGAAGTGTAATTAATACCGTTCTGGACGCGGAGGAACGACTCTTTCTTGCCTCCCCCCCCACCTGTAATTGTGCGAAGAGAGTTGCATTGATCATTGTGAGATGTGACGAGAAATATCGCGTACGATACTACATATGTGGAATAACGTGAGTTACTGGGTACTTGAGAGTCGTCTAATGTAATTATACGTCTTGCAACAAACTGGCCGAATTTTGAATTTAATATTTTCATTATCTTTTTGTTCCATTCATCCGGCATGCTACCCTCCATCAATATCTACAACCTATTGCCAACACACTAGTAGCTGCTCGATGCCTCCCTTGTAGGACTCTACTGAATTCTGATCGAAGAAAGATCAGATGTCGATTTTGACATCATCATAGTTAGGATGAGCTTTCTTCTCTAGGAGATGGTTTGGAGAGGGGAGCAGAAGGGCATTATTTGCCACGAGGTCAGGGCTATAACGTGGATACGGAAGAACTCCCCGTCCTAGAGTCTCAAAATTTTTCTGAATTTTCTTAGCAAGAGGTGGTTCAACGGTGTCATACAAAAGCAAACTTTGCCTTGTTTTTCTTTCGTATTAAAAGCGTTGCATTCGAGCTGTGGATAGTTGCATATACTACACGGAGGGGTTTCCAGAGCTTAACTCCTCCGTGTTCCACCAAAAATCCGAGAAGGCCCTACTTGGACGAGGTTGAACTTAAGCAATAAGATCTCCCGAAGCGTTTGAGCTGGACTACCGCCGCTTGTTCATTTGTTAGTAAACTGTACCCACTCCTCATCTTCGGCAAATGTGATGGATGGTCAATCGTAGAATCCCTAGTAAGTCGACTTGAACATAACGGTGTCAGATCGTGTTTGGAGCTGAATCGGGCTCAAGGCACGTGGGGACCAAACTCTACATTTTCGGATCTTCACAAGTCTTTGGAGATGCCACAGTGCTGTCTCCTTGTCGCATCGGAATCGCTCTAGCAAATGATCGATACTCTATCCAGATCCCTTTTCAACGCGTCAGATAGAGCATCGTGATTGTCAGTCACAGGGTGGTTGGAGTGTGGGTTATTTTCAAAAAAAAAAGTCAACGCTGAGCAGAGTGAAGCGCCGTTGCACTGTGGTTTGAGAGAGCATGCCCTCGCCTATCTTCTGGCCAATTTGGTCTAGCATACTTGCGTATATTTAAGTTCCGGCGGCCGCCCTCGCGTAATCGTAAAAATTAAGGGCATCGAGAGCCCTCTCGCGAAATCGGTGTAATATCCATAATAAGTAAGCAGACAACGAGCTGGACCGTTGGCTGAAATTGCAAAGGTTGATGCTACGTCAGGAAATATGTTGCGGATTTTCAGGAGTTCTCCCTAAAATTCTATAGCATTAAATGTAGTTTGTTGCAAGACTTATGGACCGACCTAATATATTTTCAGCACTTTTACGAAATCTGTGATGATTTGTTTCCATGGTGCCACCCAACGAATCAAACTAACCTCCTTGCATGAGTCGCCGTTGCAGAGACGCTGTCCTGAACGCTTCCTTGTAGATGTCGCGCCTCTCTTTCCAAACAAAGCAAAATTCATGCCCGAGACATAATAACGAAGGGAATTATAAATTCCACCATTATACGCCACATGTGATAAGGCTGTCCTGGAATGAACAATCTGCTTTTCTGCATTCTTTTTGGAGAATTAAAGAACGGCTTTCAACTATTGAAGCAAACTTCGAAATCCAACCCAATGACTAACTTGGTTTAGGGTAAAAATTCGTTGCACTGTAGAATCTACAGGTATTACTGAAGTTTCTTTCACACTTCCGCCCGTTTTCATCAATGCAATTTGTTTCCTACCGCTCAGCAATAGCTCATCATTCGTTGAAAGGTTAACCAACTGCAGAAACGATCGTCGACTGCAGATTCCATCAAAAATAAAGTAATGCCTATACCAACAAGGCTAAAGCCGCACTTACCATTAGCTAAAAAGCCCTCCTACTGTGAAAGGAATCTGGGTCTACGTCAGCACTTATCATTTCATGCTATCATAAAAAAGTACCCGTTGAAGAAGCGAAATCCCAGTGTCGCTGGAAAGTTGCTAACAAGATCGCCTTCCACGAGGCCCGTGGGCTTACGAGAAGATTCTTACAGTTGAAGTTGTACACGAAAACGGCTGACTGTTGTTCAGTTCAGCTGGTGAACGCTATCAGGACTTCTCCCCATGAAAAAATTCGTTGATGGGTTATTTGTTAAGAGGAATTTTCAAGCGCCACCAAAGGGGTGTTCAGGCTGGGATTACTTTCCTTAAAACACG